CTTCACAGTTAGAGAAGACACTAGTTAAAGTGACCCTTGCCGTGGTGAGCACCACAGAAAATAAATATGCGCTCATAGCACTGGCCTTCTATCTGGTTGAATTCCACTTTCTTAAAAGTACAAAGGTCTCCTGTGCAGATTCAATATACTTTTATTGTGATTTCTTGGCAGACATTCAGCAAAATCACTCGGCTATTGTTTTCAAGAAAGTGCACAGAGGAAAAGTAAGTTTATTTTGCATTTGAGAGAGTTAAGTTGAAGAGGACACAGGAACCTTAGCTTCCGGTTCAGGTTAAGGATATTTTCATAGCAACTCAGGCACAAATATAAAGTCAGAGTTTTCAAATGTAGTCTTGCTTCAGATTACACAGGAGCCTCTGTAGTGTTGAGGCCCAGTAACCTTTTTGTGTCAAACTCCATAGGGGTCCTGAGAGCTATTCCTTTGAGTACTCTTAGACAACCAGTATGTGGTGGTAGTGATGAATAGAACCACTGAAGTCAAATACATTTATCTGTGAGTAATTTAATCCAGGCAAAATGGTGCAGTCTATCCAAGACCATCTCAGGAGCACGTTGTAGCTGGAGGTAGTGCATTTCTTGCCTCAAGTCAAGAGATGTGAACTCAGTAGACACTATGATCCTGCTAGGACAAAAAGGATCAGTGAATCTCTTGAGCAGAAGAGCAGTCCTCCTCATCCTTCTTGTCCTCCTCCTCCTCTCCCTCCTCCTCGTCTCCTCGTCCTCCACATCCTTTCTTTACTTCCTTCTCTTCTTCCCTTTCTCTTCTCCCCCCACCCCCATTCTCTGAGACTGCTAAGGCTGGTCTAGTACTATGTAGCCAAGAGTTGCCTTCAAGTCACAGCAACCTGCCCCCCTCCTTCAGCCTCCCAAGGAAGTACAGCAGCCATAGTAACAAGGCAGTGATAGAACTGGGAAGGGTTGCTCTGCTGCACAACTCTAGGCACCACTGTTTTTATTTTTATTTTATAGTTATATCAGTCATCATTGCTCTGTAACCATCACCCCAAACTTAGAAGCTTGAAATGCTAGATAACAATTATCTCACAGTTTCCATGGCCCAGGCATCAAGATCTGTCATGGAGTTGCATTTATACTAATAGTTGGAGTTGACCAGGCCTTGGTTCTGTGCCACATGGACATGGCTGTAGGTGGCCTATGTGTCTTCATGGTATGGCAGCTGGTTTTTCATTAAGTCTCTCTCTTCTCTCTCTCTCTCTTTACACACACACACACACACACACACACACACACACACACACACACACACATATATATGCACACAAACATTGGATTAGGTCTAAGGGCTAGAGTTAAGGTTAGGGTTAGAGTTATATATAATACACTGGGTTAGGGTTAGGGTTATATATAAATACATACATTGGGTTAGGGATATATATATATATATATATATATATATATATATATATGTATAAAATATGTGTATTTCATAGGTCTTATTTTATCACATTGGGTATTCTATTTGCCAGAAGTATGTAAGTTAAATTCATATTCAAGAGTAGGGGACTTAGAGCTTCAAGGGGAGACTACCAAGAATGTGTCAATCTGTCTTTGAAATCTCCGTGGTCAGCCTGGAGATTTCAGTGGGTAAAGGTGATTGCTCCACAAGCATGGAAACTCGAGTTCAATCGTTGAAACTCATGTGAAGGTAGAAGGAGGGAACTGACTCCACAACTTTGTTGTCTGACCTCCACACACACCAACGCCGTGCACACACCATGCAACATATTCACTAATAATGAAGCCCTACAGCAGTCTGTGCTTCTTCCCTCATCCAGTTAGGTGAGGCACAACTCATGTGGATACACATTCCAGACTTGATTAAAAACCAAGAGACCAAGGTGAGAAAAGCCTGAGATGTTTAGAGCAATTCCGGTTATGAAGTAGCAGTGTCTCTCTGCACTGGACGATGGCACCCCAGGCCCAGGCTTCTGAGTCGGCCTCCTCATCTGTGTGAGGGGTTGTAAAGAGGCAGCAGCTTTGCCAGCACTGTCAGGTGACTCCCCACACTGGACGCTTCAGTGTGCTCTCTTGGTTCAGTCGCTGGCTGACTCTGAGGGATGTGTCTTTCTCCATGCCCATGGCCACCACCTCACTCCACTATGCTGTGTAGACAGCACAAATGGTCTTCTCCATGCCTTCTCTACCTACAGTCCTGCTTTTCTAAGACTCATCCACCTCACAGCAATTGGAATCACCTTTAAAAAGTATAAACTCCCAGATACGTTTTCCAACCCCAAGTGGTGAGCCCTAAACACATGTACGTATGAGTATATGAGCAACACTAAATGGAGGAGAGAGAGAGTGAGAAAGAGAGGGAGAGAGGGAGAGGAAGGGGAGAGGGAGGAGGGGGGAGGAGGGAGGAGGGGAGGAGGGAGGGAGAGAGAAACAGTAATTAGAGAAGAAGAGGTCATTCATTTGAAAGGAGTAGGAGTGCATGGGAGGAGTTGGAAGGGGTTGGAGAGGATGGAAGTGATAGAAATACAGCACTCATGTAGGACACTCATTTTTTTTTTTAGAGTGAAGAAGTACACATCAGGTTGTACCACACCTCTGCAGCAAGCATTTAATACTTTCACGTGGTTTTAAACTGCAATCAAAATTCCTCCCTGTGACTCAGGGTCTTCATGCAGCATGTCACTCCTGGTGTCCTTTCTATTTCTCCTACCTCAGGCCTCCAAGTCTTTGCAAGGCTGTTTCCTTCTTGATCTCTAGGCCTTAACTTAGCGATCACTCCCCACAGACACTTCCCTGATCACTGAGTATTATAACTTTTTACATAACTGTTTTCTTTCTTTTCTTTCTTTCATTTTTTTTTGATGGGGTGTTATTCGAGACAGGGTTTCTCTGTGTAGTTTTGGAGCCTGTCCTGGATCTCACTCTGTAGACCAGGCTGGCCTTGAACTCAGAGATCCGCCTGGCTCTGCTTCCTGAGTGCTGGGATTAAAGGCGTGCGCCACCACCCGGCAACTGTTTTCCTTAACAGCACTAAACTTATCTGTACTCTCCCTACCTTTCAAGTTTTTATTGTCTTCACCCACCTGGATGGCTCGCTGTTTGAGGAGAGGGCCCTATCTATTTAGTTTGCTGGCTGTTGTACCCTTAGGGTTTAACCCAACCTCAGGCATCCCAGCACACTCTCTGAAGTTAGCTATAAGTGAATGAATAGTGGAAAAAGGCATATTAAATGCTAACACAGTCCCTGGCACATAGTAGGTGTCAAGTACAGCCTAGGCAATTGTGTACTGGCTGTACTGATGTCTGTTGGAAAGGCATCAACTGTAGATCTTGACATGTTAAATTGTCAACCACAATTTATTGATGCTTAGCACTTTGTGTAATGGATGTGGACAATGGCTACTCATACATGTATTTGTCAACATGTATGTATTTTGGGACTTCCTGTGAGTTGAACTGACGAAATTTTCAAGTCTTCAAATCGATATTATTTAGATTTTAAATCCCAAGCCACCAAATGTTGTACCCCCATGTAGAGAAACACGAGTCAAGTGAGACGACCGTGTTATATGGCTTCAGTTTGTACCATAAAGCAGGCTGCGAAGTAGATCTTGGTGTTGGAAGCACCATTCACTCACACACTCCATCAGTTTGCCTTTCCTGCATATGACAAAAGCAATCTTCTTTGTGCATGCATATTTGTCCTCTTACAACAGGGACATGGATGGAAAAATTAGGATGAGAAAAATCATCAAAAGAGAAACAATTCTTAAATGTAAGGACTGTAATTGGCAGTTTTCATTATGGGTGCGGCAGTATCTTCTCTAGGGACATATCCATGCCACATCTCCTGGTGTCTCCCTTGGCAAAGAGGCTACCACAAGGAAGTTGGTCAGCATGTTTCTTAAAGGAAAGGAAACATGAATCAATGCCAACACCTTATGCACAGCCTAAGAAAAAACAATACCAGGTCTATGCTTTTGAAAGCAGGCTTTAGGTCGTTACCACTTTGCTTACTAGCAGTGTAACTTTGGACAATGTACTTAACTTCTCTGGCCCTTAGATTCTAACACTGTAACTGGGAAGTTGCTAACTTTGTAGCGCAGGATTGATGTGGTAAAAAATGGGAGATAAGAAAACTAATTGAATGAAGTCAGTTATTTTTATTTTCTTCCCTTTCAGCTGGCCTCAGGTTTCTAATGTCTTCAACCCTTCAGCTCCCACATGTGGGTGGCAGATGTCAGTTCTCCGCAGACTGTTGGACTCAAGGCCTCAGCTGGTTGCTGTTGCCTATTGAGTTCCTATTGTCTCAGGCTACATGGGCCTCCTTGGAGACAGCTCACAACATGATCACTTGCTTCATCACAGTGAGCAAGCCATAAGGTAAGGAGAGAACGTGAGCAAGGTTGAAGTCATTGCCTTTTGTGCTACAGTTTCTAAAGTGGTGTGCCATTGTTTTTGGCAGAGTCTCTTCCTTAAAAAGAAGCTTCTAGGTTAGGCCTACATTTGAGAAAATTATGCAAGGACATGGACATTGGGAATTGGGGATTTTTGGGGTTCATATTGGAACTTCCTACTGCAGACTTGGGAGGGTAAAAAAGAAGAGTCATGTCCAAGGAAGAGAGCCTCAAATAAGCTAAGCCTCGGAAAATATGAGTAAGCTGGATTAGAAATTGTAACTACTTTAAAGAAATGCATGTTTGATGGCAAGAATGTTGTATTGATAGCCTTATGTATTCATTTGCCTTGAACTTCTTAGTTGCTGAGGATGACCTTGAATTCCTTACCCTCTGGCTTCTAAATACCAGGTGCTGGTATTTTAGGAGCAATCCTTGGCTGAGGCTAAGAAGAATAAGTCTTAGAGGGCTGTTGTACGACACAGTGCTTGTGGCTAATCATATGATATTGTAGACTTAAAAGTTCTTAGTATGGTCTATTAGTTACTCTTCTATTGCTGTGACAAAATACCAAGTCCAAAGGAACTTAGAGAAGGAAGGGTTTATTTGTGCTTAGGGTTCCAGAGGATGAGAATCCATCACCATCATGGCAGGGAAGTGTGGCAGCAGGCAGGCATGTTAGCTGGAGCAATGAGCTGAGAGCTCACATCTTAAACTGCAAGCAGAAAACAGAAGGAACAAACTGGTAATGAATGGCACATGGCTTTTAAACCTCAAAGCCCATCCCCCGCAACATACTTCCTCCCGTAAGGTCACACCTCATAAGCCTAGTGTGGTGGTTTGAAGGAAAATGGCCCCCAAATGGAGTGGCACTATTAGGAGGTGTGGCTTGTTGGAGGAAGTGTGTCACAGTGTGGGTGGGCTTTGAGGTTTCATATGCTCAGGATACTGCCCAGTGAGTCAGTCAGTCAACTTCTTGTTGCCTCTTAGTCAAAATGTAGAACTCTCAGCTCTAGCACCATGTTTGCTTAACTGTGGCCATGCTCTCCACCATTATGATAATGGACTAAACCTCTGAAATTGTAAGCAAGCCACCCCAGTTAAATGTTTCCTTTATAAGAGTTGCCACGGTCATGATGTCTCTCTCTCTCTCTCTCTCTCTCTCTCTCTCTCTTTTAAGATTTATTTATTTATTATGTATACAGTATGTATGACTGCAGTCCAGAAAAGGGCACTAGATCTCATTACAGATGGTTGTGAGCCACCATGTGGTTGCTGGGGATTGAACTCAGGACCTCTGGAAGAACTTAACCTCTGAGCCATCTCTCCAGCCCCATGATGTCTCTTCACAGCAATAGAAACCCTAACTATGACACCTAACTAAACAGTACCACCAACTGGAGACCAACTATTCAAACATCTGAGTCTATGGGTAACAATCTGATGCAAACCACTAAGATCACTTGTTAAGTGGTCTTGTTTTCTTACAGTTCTGAGAACTGAACCCAGGTCCCTGAGTATGTCAGATAAGCAGCCTATCACTGAGAAGATCCCAAGGCCTTCATGTTAGTATTTTCACTGCAAAACAAAATAAAAGCAATCCATAAAATAGCCTGTAGGGATGCAGGAAACTTTTGGGAGTAATGGATGTATCACTACCACAATTAGGACAATGGCATCAGGAATACAGCTATTCCATCATTTCATGCATATGTCTGAATATATAAAGTTGTCTAGATGAAACATGTCCCATCTTCTATTTGTTATATCTCAATAGTGCAGTTATTAAACAGAGTTTATGAAGTGCTGTGTATAGAAGAGTAAAGAAAATTGAACTGTGTGCCTATGTAGTGAGGTGTAGTGAAGGAACTGAGGAGAGAGGAGGTTCCACACCATTGTTGGAAGATCATTCTTACATCCATGATGACAAAGGGCACATTCATTTCTCTCACAGCTACCGCCATCAGAGTCTCACAACCAACATGCCTGCCAGGTTCAGGTCTACAGAAGCAAGGAGCTTTGAGGCTGTACAGCATACTATTAAGAATCTATCAATCGATTATGAGGCCACATGAGCTGTATTAGTTGTAAGCAAAGGGCAGGCGATTGCTCTTGTTACAGTAATGGAACTCCTGAAGAAAGACTTTTTGGTCAAGAGAATGGAATCCGTGGCTTGAGTGGAGACCCAACATTCCAGTTGGGTCAAGTTGATCACCTACCAAGGGATCACCCCCAGGAAAGAGGGTTCACCTTAAGCCATGCTGAAGAGATAAGTGAAATAATTTAATGTTTTTTTATGTTAGTTCTTTGAGAGTTTCATACAATGTGTTTCGATAATATTCACTCTCTCCCCCCAACTCTTTCTAGATATACTTCCTCTTCCCTACCCTTCCAGGTTTGTGCCATTTTCTTTTAATTCTTAGAGATCAATTTGTATTACTCAAATATTCTTGCATGTCTAGACTTTTTCTGGAGAATAGTTGACTTACCAGGAGCTACACTTTTAGAGAAACCATCTAAACCATCTCTCTTTCTCTCCCAGCAGTTAACAGTTGCCAATAGATACATGGCTAGGGGTGGGATTATGTGCTCAACTCTCTTTTTAATTTTGTATAGCTTGGCATTGTACAGTTATTGTACATGCTGTCCCTCAGGGCAAGATCCCACATGGTCCCAACTACCATGTGTTCATATATTCAGCTAGTCATCTACCTGTGTCCATAAGAAAATGTAGTCTTCTACTACCTCTGGCTCTTATACTTTTTGTGTTCTCTTGTCCTATTAGTCAGGGTTCTCTAGGAAAGGAACTGATAGCATAAATCATTCTATCATCTCTGTATCTATGTATCTCTCATCTATCTATCTTTATCTATCTATCTATTAGAAATATATGCACATATACAGCATGAATCAATCTGTCATCTATCTATCAATCATCTATCTATCATCTATCTCTGTCTATCTATTGAAAACATACATATGTATGTTATATATTATATAATATATATAAATGTGTGTGTATATGTGTTAGGAAGTTGTTATAGCAGTAAGTTTCAATATATCTATTTTGAAATGTCTTTAGTGTTATCACTAATCCCTATGATCCCTCCTCCATCCTACCCTCTGCTCCACTACTCCAGTTTGACTCTTCCTGTGTGGGATAATTTTCCCATATATGTGTAATCTGTATAGATTTATATAGAGAAAGCAGGCCTTTGCTTCAGTCAGAAGGTGGTTGTTATTTCCCGTGATAGTCATGCCACTGTTGCACCAGTGGGCATGTCTTGCAGGCCAGTCATTGTTGTAGCTCTCAGGGTTTGTTGCTAGGTGTAATGATTACTTTTCTTCTCTGGTGACTTGTGTGGTCGTTTGAAAGAAACGGCCTCCAAAGGGAGTGGTAGTATTAGGAGGCATGGCCTTTTGGAGTAAGTGTGTTCTTGTTGAAGGAAGTGTGTCACTGTGAAGGCAGGCTTTGAGATCTCATATATGCTCAAGTCACACCCTCTGAGAAGTTCACTTTCTGTTGCCTGCAAGATGTAGAACTCTCAGTTCCTTCTCCAGCATCATGTCTGCCTGTACCACCATGTCCCACCATGATGATAATTTGCTAAACCTCTGAATTGTAAGCCACCAATTAAATGTTTTCCTTTATAAAAGTTGCCATGGTCATGGTGTCTCTTCACAGCAGTAGAAACTCTGACTAAGATAGAAGTTGTTACCAGCAACTGGGGTTTATTGCTGTGTTAGACCTGACTGTGTTTTTGCTTGGAGGAATTTGGACTTTGGTACTTTGAGTTAGGAAAGCAGTGAAATGCTTTAAGTATTACTTAATGGGGCATACTAGTAGGAGCATGGAAGACAATGGTGCTGATAATGATTTGAACTGTTGGGGGCTGGCTCAAGAGGTTTCAGATGAGAAGAATTTTGGTATGTCGCCTAGAGATTGTTCTTGTGATATTTTGGTGAAGAAAGTGGCTGCTTTTTGCCCTTGTCTGAAAAGTCTGCCTGAGGTTAAAATGAGGAGATTTGGATTAATTCTATTGGCAGAGGAAATCTCAAAACAGCCTAGTATAGACTCTGTCATGTGGTTACTAGTGTTCAGGCTTATAAAGATTTATAATGAAAAACAGCAAGCTGAGAAAGGAAAACAATTTGAGGAGAAAAGGAGCACTAAGAAGTGGAATGGAGTTAAGTCCTGTGTTCAAGGACATAAACAGATAAGAAATGGAATATAAGGAGTTGTGACCTCAGGGCAAGATCCCACAAAGCTAAGGTTCCAATTTGTGAAAAACAATGAAAGAAAACCTCAGTGCCAGGTGTGGTGGTACACACCTTTAATCCCAGCACTCCAGAGACAGAGGCTGGTGGATCTCTGAGTTTGAGGCCAGCCTGGTCTACAGAGCAAGTTCAAGGACAGCCAAGTTTAGTCAATGAAGGAAAACAGAAAGCTGGTGAAGATATAATTGAATGAGGGGGCCATGTTCCAGCCCCAGTAAGCAGCAGAACTTGGCAGCTTTGGCCATGTGATTTTGGAGTTAAGGATAGAAGAAATGGGCTATGGAACCTTTCTCTATGACTAAGGAAAACCACTGAGGCCAGGAATGTGTCAGGAGACCCAGAGAGGTCATTTCAGGAAGCTGTGAAGGTGAAGCCTGGATTGCCTTGGAGACTTGAAGATGTTGGAGATGCCAGAGCTGTGGGAGACCTGCTGAGGAAACCTGTAATAGGGCATGGAACCAGCTCAAGAGAAAGAAGTATGTTGTAGTCAACATAGGAGAAAGGAGTTGGAGATCTGAAGAGGGTTTTGACATCAGACATGGAGATGCAGAGTTTGGAGTTTGCCCATTTGTTTTTAATCTTGCTTTGGTCTGGTATTTCCTCACTATGTTCCCTTCCCTGTGTTTTGGAATGGTAATGTATATCCTGTGCCATTACATGTTGGAAGTATGTGATCTGCTTTTTTATTTTGATTTTACAGGTGATTACAGTTTAGAGACTGCATGAATCTCAGAAGAGACTTTGAACTTTAGACTTTTAAATAATTTTGAGATTGTTGTAGACTATGGAGACTTTTGAAGTAGGACTGAATGCATTTTTTTTGAATTATGATATGACTACAAGCCTTTGGGGCCCAGGGAGTGGAATGTGGTGGTTTGAAAGAAAATGGTCCCCAAAGGAAGTGGCACTATTAAGAGGTGTGGCTTTGTTTGAACAGGTATGGTTTTGTTGGGGGAAGTATGTCACTGTGAAGGCAGGCTTTGATGTCTTATACATGCTCAAGCCATGCCCAGTAGACAGTTCACTTCCTGTTGCCTGCAGGTTGTAGACTCTCAGCTACTTCTCTAGCACCATGTCTGCCTGCATGCCACCATTTCTCACTATGATGATAATGAACAAAACTTCTGAGCTTTAAGCCACCCAATTAAATGTTTTCCTTTATAAGAGTTGCCATGGTCATGGCATATCTTCACAGCAATAGAAACCTTAACTAAAACAGCTTGCATAGCACCTTCTAATACTCTGAAAGCTAGCCACTAGGGATGATGCTGATAGATCCATACCAGCTTGATTTCTCCATATTCTATGTCTTTAGCAATAATATCTATCTTACTGTCAAGCTTTGGAGGGCAACTTAGAACAAGCCTGTAACGTTCTCATGCATGGGAGTCTGTGTATCTATAGGACCTCACTGGCACCAACTCCAAAAGAAATAACTCATTCCTGGCACCGGGCTTTTTGTTTGTTAGTCTCTGGTGTTTAGTAAGGACATTATTGCCCTGCTATAGAGTGACCTCATTTTAATTCTTGTGTGTGTGTGTGTGTGTGTGTGTGTGTGTGTGTGTGTGTGTGTTAGGAAGTTTCTACAGTAGCAGGTTTCTATATATCTTTTTTGAAAGATCCATAATGTTATTACCTATTTCTATACTTCCTCCTCTACTCTACCCTTTGCTCCCCAACCCCAGTTGGTCCATCCTGTGTGGAATAATATTTTCTCTAATGGGATATTTTACTTTTCCTTCCACAGGTCCCTGACCCTAGAACAGCCACGTTTTGTTGCAGTTTCTGTTACAGCCATGCAGTTTTATGAGTCTACTCATTTTCTGTGTTATTCAAACAGCATAGCATACCCTTTGCTGCTTTCTCTTCTCTAAGCAGGCTTTCCCCGAACACTTCAGCCTTTCCCTAACACTTCTGGCTTTCCCTAACATTTTGGACATCCTTACTGTCCTTGTGGCTGCCTGTCTACCACGTGTCTGATGGCCAAACTCCTTTGAAGCGCTCTTTTCCCTCTACTCCTCCATTCTCCTCCCCCAGGCAGCTGTGAGATTTACAGCTTGTCTGCTTTGGAGGTTTTTCTTTTAAACTCTAATAAAATTGTCCATAAGCTTCTGTTGGAGTTAAATTAAACTCTCTATTAATGAGACTAAAAAACACAAAAGGGACCCCTGATTTCCCCTCTATTATCTGGTAACCATGAAAGGCCCTCCAAATTCTGGACTAATCTCTTTCTAACTTCAGGAAAATTTAAAGGAGAAACAGTAGTTGGTTTGTCTTATGGTGGGATGAAGTTTCTTTTTTTTTTTTTTTTTGGTTTTTCAAGACAGGGTTTCTCTGTGTAGCTTTGCGCCTTTCCTGGGACTCACTTGGTAGCCCAGGCTGGCCTCGAACTCACAGAGATCCGCCTGGCTCTGCCTCCCAAGTGCTGGGATTAAAGGCGTGCGCCACCACTGCCCGGCGAAGTTTCATTTTTATCCACTGTTTGTTTTAGTCCCTCTGGTATAGAGCATCCCCTGTCTCTATCTTGAAACCTTAAAGTTCTGCAGTTGGAAAGTCATGCAAAGCCATTAGTGGAGCCCTGAGATTGAAATAAACATGGGTAGACTCTGGTGGCCGTTCAGAGATTTAGAAAGGTTTTAAGCTAAAAGCAGCAAAGCAATCTTGTTTCCTTCTTTGTTAAGCAAGAATCTTGGAGACAGTGGTCTCCGAGGCCCTGAGCATTCTGCATCTGGAAGTTTCTGTAAGTAGCATGAGTGCTTAGGAATCTACTTGTTTACTTTGCTTCCCAAGATTAATCTTAGGGCTGGGTATATTTTTCTCCTTTCAGCCTGACGTTAATTCCCAGATGTTTTGGGTCATATCATTGTGGAGAAGGTCTTTTCTTGTACCACTGCAAACTGTTTAGTGGAGCAGTTGTTAAGATAGCGTTGGTCCTTGTGAAAGGCGTTTGCTCCCCTACTCTGCTGCTGACAGGCTGAACTCTTTTTGCTTTTCCAGGAGAATTATTGTCATTTCCAACAGGGAGTGTATAACCCATGAAGAAGAGGGACAGCTCAGGGTGATAAGGAAGAAGTGAAGAGTATAGCCTACCTTTGTCAGTCATCTGGGAGCTCAAAGCAGCCATGTCTGTATCTCTGTGCGCCCAGAGTCATCTCTGCCACGTGGGAGGCCTGTTGAGCACAGCCCTCCGTGGCTACGCGGTGCGGGGGTGGTGCAAAGCCATCACTTTTGAACTGAGAGGAGGTCTGTGTGGTTTGATAAGGGACTCTCTATTTATGGCTATCTTGAAAGGCTCTTGAGCTTGACATCCTGTAAAGAAAGCAGAGTTTATGGGGAATGACTAGACCCTTATTCTCCTATGAGCGCTGCATGCAATTTGCCACACACATTTACTCAGCAAAGGAAGGTTTGCAGTTGGAAAGGCCACAAAGTCCTCCTCCTTGCCGAATTGGTAGATCATCTGACCCAAGCAAGAGCTGCATTCAGAGATTATACTTCCAATAATACATTATCTCATAAGATCCCTCTTCTACATCCTCATTTTCCTGTAAAATCATTTTTCTACTTTTAAAAAAATGTAAACAAAAGGTTGCATATAAGAGTGTAATGTTAGACTCTCACCTCTGCTCAGGCCACAGTCTCTGCAGCAGCCTCATCTCCCCCTTTCATAGGTACCCACAGGCATCTTACTGAGATGTTGTCTGTGAGTCCCTAGCAGTCCCCCTCCTTACCTCCTTCTTGGGAGTCAGAGAGCCTGGTTGCAGATTCTTGCTGTGAAACCTCTCACTACCTCCAAGATCTTTTAAGCATAAGCTCCCTCTGCTATGTGGGCCTGGGACCTGGACTCTCATGACAGATGCTGTCATATCCGTCTGTCTGTCCACGGGATTATGAACCTTTCTATTCATCCTCTTAGACATATCTCCCCATCGTCAGAAAACTACCCCTCCTCTGTGGCCCCCTCCCTTGCCTCTGTACTCCGCCTTAAATCCAAGATGGCCTTCCTTTGCAGTCCTTCCCTCCACATCTTGCATCTTGGTATCTACCCTCCCACCGAGTCCTTCTTGTGGGAAATAAACATGCTCTTGGTTATCTTGTCCCAAAACACCCTCCTCAGGTGGACTATGGATCCCAGATGCGTTTCCTTTCACCCATGTTTTGGGAAAAGTAAACTTGCGATCTCCGTGGTTACTCTTCTTACTTCCTGTCTTGGTCTCTGCCCCCAACACTCTGCTGGGACTGCTGTTCCTGAGGTCCAGGGGTCCTTTCAGTGTCTTATCTAATGACATCGATGCTTTCCAAAGCTATTTTACTGAACTTCGCAGTTGTATTTACTTTTTTTGTACCTTTGGACATCATGAAATCTTACTTTCTTCCCTTCCTCAGTTCTCAGACGATTTGGTTGGGCTGTGTGGTTGCTCAGTGAATCTGCTCTGTTTTCAAAGGAATTAAAATGACTTATCTGAATGAATTATGAATACCACATGCTCACTGTAGCCAGTTCTTGTTTTTTGAAAGTTTTTTTTAGGTTGGCTATCCAAATGAAAACCTTGTTGTTAACTTTAAACAATTTTTAGTAGGTCATATATTCTAATTTTAGCCAATTAATTTTAACATTACACTAGCTTAGCAGAGAAAGTATCTTCTTGGATCTCTTTCTCTACTCTTATTTGTACAGAGCTGGTTGGCCATTAAATCTATGTGCTAAAACAGCTGAATCCAGAACGTTCCACTCACAGGACAGAAGAAGTATCCAATGTTGTGCTTTAGAAATGAAAACCCCGGAAATCTGTAAATGAGAGTTAAATCTGGAGACTAGAGGTAGAGAATATGATTAAAAAGAATATGAGTGCTTCTTTTTTTTATTTTTATTTTTTTTGGATTCTTCAGCTGAGACAGCGAGAAAAGATGGTTTATTGTACACGAGTTACACTTGGCCACAAGTGAGAACAGAACTAGTCTGGAATGCCATAGGTCCAGGGCAGAGGGCCAGCGGGACTGTTTTGGTTGTCATGAACGCAAAGTCTCTCAGGTGGTCTCTGCGAGCCGATGGTGCTGTTCAGGTCCATCAAGACTTCCAGCGTTAGTAGCACACAGTCCAGCGACGTGCACCAAAGTCCCAGCCTTCAGCATCCCTTGCTTCGGCGCCTTCAGCCTCACGGGTGCACAAGCCTAGTTTACTTAGACCTCTGCCTCAGCTTTCCCCTCTTGGCTTCAGCCTGCGCATTGCATTCGCTTCTTCCTCCCTGTCGCTCTCCTGGCGCAGGAGTTCCAAGGAAGATGGCGCCACGGCCGAGAGCAGTATGAGTGCTTCTAACAGTTTTTTCCCCCTGGGCAGGAGTTTAAAAATAAAAGAAAACTGTTATTTGCTTTTTCTCTACTACCTAAAAAGGCAATACAAAGATTAGAAATGCTAAGTTGTTCTTGGCATTTGAATAGATGTTTTGGAATATGATATAGTAACCCTTGTTTAAGTCAGCAACATAGTATGGAGGCAGGGGGTTAGGGATAAATTCTTCATACATACAATTTTATTGTTACATTTGGTAGAAAAAAAATAATATGACATTCGCCCCCCCCATCCCCGCCAATATTATCATCTTCTTACTAGACAAAAATGATCTCTTTAAAATCCCACCCAAGGTAAACTACATTGGTCATTTAAAAAACACCAATGGTTACTTCATTTGTTCAAAAAATTCAGCCACATATACCTTTCCCCCAAAAGATAACTATTTAAATAGGTTGAAAGAAGGTCCATGAAGGCTTATGCAGGACAAAGCAATAGTGTGTATATTTATTCTTTTTTTTTTTTTATCACAAGAAATTTTGTTTCCTTCCGCGGGCTCACATGAAATACAGCTGGTTTATGCCCCGTAAACAGCCCCAGCGTTCTGTGATTCAGAGGAGAGCGGCAGCCCGCCTGACTAATGGCCGTTTAAAGCCTCTGATGCACAGGGATCAAATTAAGCAAGGCTTTGTGTTGTCAAGATTTAGAATCTACGGATGCAGCGACATTTATTCATCTGCCTTTTATTCAGCTCGGAAGGCTCACAGGTCAGCGGCTTCTGATTGCTCTGGCTGCCTTCCAAGCTGGCAGCAGGGGGAGAGACATTTCCTGACGACTCCACCAGGTGGCAGTCTTTGATGCAAAAAAAAAAAAAAATTCAATTATTTGAAACTGCCTTCTCTCCCTGCGTGCTTTCTCCTCTTTCTCACTCCCTGTCTCCTCCTCATCCCTCTTCCTCTCTCTCTATGTTTTGATTCTTACTCCTAAGGTTCATCTTATTTATAGTTTCCCGAGTGAATTTATCATATAGTAACGCACGTACAGTCACAACCTTCTTTCCAGCTCTGACAGAATGCGGTGCTGCCCTGGTAGAATAAACGCACATACAACATACAATCGTGACCAAACCTCAGCATCGACTACCAAGACCTCATCGTCAACGAGACAGACATAAAATAACCTGCCCCAATGTGCATCGGATCCTGCCTTCTGCCTGGAAGAACTGATTGGCACCTGTCCAACCTTGCTCTTCTCACTGGTCACCAGGAGGTGTCTGAAGCAGACAGCTCAGGCTGAGATCTGAAAGCCCATGTCTGTCCATTTCGCTTTCAAATGCTCTGAAGGCATCTTCTGTCTCTGCCACTGCCTCAGGTCTCACCACAGGCCACAGGGAGGGGTCAGGTGACTCCTCCGGACTGACCACTGCACAGCGGAAAGGGCAGCTCTTGCACCTGTCAACATGGCTTTACTAAGCCTGGAGTCCAGCTCCTGGTGGAACAGAGTTGACCGAACCGAATGCTTTGTTTCGTTCCATCTCCCCCTTGCCTTTTATTGAAAATATGTTATTTTCTCACATAACATATCCTGATTACAGTTTCCCCTCCCTCTACTCCTCCCAGTTCCTCCCCACCTCCTCTTCCATCTGGATCCACTCCCTTTTTGTCTCTCATTAGAAAAGAACAGACTTCTAAGAGATAACAACCAAACATGACAACATAGAATATAATAGAATAACCCAAAAGCTATTGGGGTTGAACATGACAATCCAACAGAAGAAAAAGAGTCTAAGAGAAGGCGCAAGAACAGAGACCCACTGATTCACAGACTCAGGAATCCCAGAGAAACACTAAACTGGAAGCCATAATGTATATGCAGAGGACCTGGCACAGACCTGGGCATGCTGCTACTTTACACTCTGTGAGTTCATCTGAGCTTTGCTCATGTTGATTTAGAGGGCCTTGGCTTTTTGGTGTCCTTTGTCCCCTCCGGCTCTTACACTTTTTCTGCCTCCTCTTCCTCTGGGTTCCCTGATGCCTGAGGGAAGACATTTGATGAGACATCCCATTTAGGGTAGAGTGTTCCAAGGTCTCCCACTTCCTGCATATGTCTGGCTATGGCCCTCTGTATTTGTTCCCATTTGTTGCAGGAAGAAGCTTCTCGGATGATGGCTGAGCAAGGCTCTGAGCTATGACTATAGCGGAATGTCATTAGGAATCATTTTATCACTATATTTTTTTAGATCAGTAGTATTTGGTTTTACCCTAGATCCCTGGGCTATCCAGTCTCTGGTTCTTGGTCACCCAAGCAGTGGTGGGTTTGGGCTCCATCTCATGGAGTATGCCTCAAGTCAAGTCAGATATTGGTTGGTTACTCCAGAGGGAGATGAAGGAGGGAATCCAGGGAGAGATAGCTAAAATTAAGGGCCATTTGAGGGTTAGTATGGAAACCTAATACAGTAGAAACTTCCTAAAATACATAAATATATGAAGGTGATCTAAATGAAATAGTCAAATTATATGGGAGACAGCCTCCAAATTGGCCATTTCTTGTCACCAAATGAAGCTTCCAGTACAAGGATTGGGTTACACGTAATTGAGTTGTTGACCAAAGAAGTCCCATGGGAACCCCCAAATAATCCAGGCTGTTGCCAAGACTATAAGTGACTCCACAAACTGATGGTAAAGCCCCATTTCTGAAGACAACACCTACACTACTCACTGAACATGGAGAAGTCCAGCTGGTGCCTGCAGAACCTTCAGCCCTATGTTCTAGTGTCTTTGGCACAAGAGAGTATTCTACATGCTACCAAAAGAGAAACATAAACAAGCTGGTCACAAAACCTTTGATTTACAATGGTGTCCTTCTTGTAAAATATGCTAGGGCAATAGTTGTACAACCTTGTAGGAGAAACCAACTAATATCTGTTTCATTCAGTCTAAACAACTCCACTTTAAATCAAAGATGAAGAAACAAAGAAAAGCCAGAAACTTCTTGAGGTGACTTAGAGACAAGACTCAGACTCAGGTCCATTCACACCAGCACCTAGAAGACGTTGGAGCATTCCTCCGGGTTAATTATGCCACACTTTCCCAGTTCCCCATGCTTTTCCTTTGTCTCCTCCTTTCCCAGCTCATCCCCAGACCCACATTTCCCCACTGGCAGCCCCCTCAGATGCCATCTTCACTGCTGATTTAATCCTTTTTGGTTAGTGACATGAACATTTATAGAGGAACCATCTACTTTGCAAGTAGCCTGCGCATACCCCTTACCTAGTACTCCTCCTTTGGGAGGTCTTTATTAACTCCTGTGCTAAGCACATTACCACTTTGTCAGATGTTTCCTATATTTTAAAAAGTAGTTTTACATTTTCTTCAGTTTATTTAGAAGCTTGGTTTTCTGTATAGCATGCTTTAATATTTATGAATATGCATCTATTATTATTTCTGCTTTGTTGTCTTTCTGGCACAAACTTATTTACTTCAAGACTGTAAAAAATACTTTCTTACATTTTCTGGCTAGAGATGTTTTGCCTTGATTACTTTAAAAACTTCAAAGTATTATTTTTTATGATAAAAAGTAGAAATCTAACTTTATTCCACTTTGAGACTAATTGAGCATTTAAAATAATAAAAAATAAACACAGTAAGTAATCAGGCACATAGTAAATTTACTCTGTGATGTAGGTATTTTTATTCTCATTTGCTAGAGGAAGAAATAATGGCAGATAAGTGTTGTGTAACTCCCCAAATCCAAATAATAATCTTCATTGGTTTGAGGAGCCATGGAAGCTGGCACTTTTTAACAGGTAATCTCACTTGGGAAACAGGACTAAGGGTCCATCTTCATAGATTTAAGTAAGATAGACTTTTCCTTATAATTATATTTTATATTTTTTTCTCTCTAAAATATTGAAAGGTAGGATGAAGGTTAACTTAATGTACTTTCAGACTATATTATAAAAAAACCAAGTTTGTTCAAGTGCTTCATAAAGAGTCTAACACAGAGACTATAATATTAATACAAATATAAATTTGCAAATGTGAGTGTGTATGGGTCTTCCAAACTCAGCACATTTGAAAATACTTCGCCCATTTCCATAACGTATCCAGCTGTGAAGGCAGTTGAAGCTGTACCTGCCTGCTTTGGGCTATCCTTCTCTGAGGATGGTGGTTGGACACTCACCCACTTGCCTGCTCTCTTGCTGTTAGGCCTGTGGCAGTCTGGACTTCCTTCTGTTTGGGATGCAGTGTGTTGCTTTGGAGCCTGCCCAAGCCACTCTCCTAAACTAATCTCACATGTTTCAGGCTCATTAACTCTATACTCTAACAAGTTAAGTTCATTTGAGTTACATTTGTTAATTTACTCTGCCAGGGAATTACTCATGCTGGATGTGTGTGTGGTTATGCCTTAGTGGCCTGTGAGAGATCGTTGTTTACTACTGGAGAGTGATTTTACCAATGTGAAGAATTTGATTTCACTCATTTTACCCAGAACACTAGAATATCAGCATTCTATACTTGACTTTATGTATCCAGAAACAAATTTTAAATAAAACAAAACCATTAAGGCTGTAGAGAAAATCAGCACATTTAGGGACCAGGTATTGTGATGTGGACATTACAGCATTAAATCATTAAATAATTGATTTGAGCAAAATAATAGCCAAGCCAACATCCATTGTGGTTCAAGCAGAATTATCTTTTAAAGTTTTCAGAATGCAAATTGTGCTAGTCTTCTGTACACCCAGATAAAACACAAGAATATTTCAAGAGCACTTTAGGAGAGCTCACCTCCCTTGAAGTGAGCTTTGAAGGTGGACTGTTTTTTGTTTGTAAGAACAATGCCTGAATTTAATTTGAAAATCTGAGCCAAATTCTGTCCCAATGAGCAATATCAAACATTGTTATGATTATGTAGAAACTGATAGCTTTCAAAGAAGAGGTTTCTTTGTGTCTGTTTCTCTCTCTCTCTCTCTCTCTCTGACACACACACACACACACACACACACACACACACACACACACACACACACACACAGGAGGGTGGGAGCTACAGACTCAAATTACAGGAGCCATTGCTGAGGGAACTCTCTTGTGTGGTTTGCAGAATAAACCCCACTAGAGAAAACCAAATCTCCATCAGTTTTCGGCAGTGTCCATGTGTGAATAGGAGGAAGGACTTGTAGTAAATACACTCAGCTGACACTGAACCTTGGGTAATTGAAGTCAAGTGTTGAACACTCTCCATGAGTGCTTAAAGTCCTGCACACAGCCAGAACCCAGTGTCTTTTCCCACAGGGTGGGAAATGGAATGAGAAGAACCAAGATTCATTGACTCAGGGAGGGCTACATGCCCCGGCCAGCAGGGCTTCAACGGGAACTCAACCACCCTAAGGACAGAATGATAGGGACAGGAGACACAAAGAAAATACACAAAGACAATATTCTGATCAAGGTGCAACTTTATTTTTCTCCAGGAGGGTTTATATAGTTCCTGCAGGGTGGGAGGAGCAGGAAGCTGTTATCTGCATAGGGTGGGGCAAGCTAACAGGATGTTTATGCAGGATGTTGACAGGGTGAAAAGGTCAAGGGCTCTACTCAATGTCCTGTTGCTAGGCAACCAGCCTGACTGTAAGATGATGTTCTAGTTCCCTGTCTTATTGGGGGTCTGTATTTTTCCACTAACTAGAGATTCTGTCCTTGTCCCTGACAGCTACAGGCTCAGAAAGACAAGAAGGAGGGAGGCTCTCAACCATCATAGGACAGAGCGGTTTCCACAATCCACATCAACCAAGGACTCCCCATTCTGATAGTGTGTGTGTGTGGGAAGTAGAAGGTGATGCCAAACCGCTGCCACTCATTCCATGTAGTTCATTGTGGACGTGATTCTGGTCAAGTTAAGGGTGGCAAGTGGCCACTGTTGCAATCACCCAACTCTACACTGTTTGTTTTTTTTTAAATCATACGATTCTTGATAGAATAGTTTCCCCAGAATGGCATCCCTGGATGAACTTTGGTGGTGATTTTATTCAGGGTTCTAGACAGCAGAGAAGGGAAGGATCCCCAGAAAACAGTGCCCACTTAGGTCATGGCTAGTGCTTGGATTAATTCAGAAGAAATTTTATAGTGTAAGCTCAGGGAGAGACTAGATCCTATTTCTTGGCAAACTGTGAGCTTTTTGAGGAATTTAGGTCTGGGATGGTAATGACTTGTTCAAGGCCACGAAGGAAACACAGTGAGGCTAGGACAGAGTGCAGATCACCGAGCTTTTTTTCCTGGCTAGCCACCCTCAGCTTCCCGACTTCACCAATGTTCTTGTTCTAGTAAGGGAGAAAGCCTCCTTTAATCTGTTTCTGGAATAAAATCTTCTCTGCCATTTGCAACACTCCAGAGGATAGAAATATAACAAAATCATTGTTTTGTGTTAATACTTCCGTTTCTAGCCATCTCAGCCATCAATCAGAACTTTTATCTTGTTGCCTGAAGAGACAAGGACATTTAATTCACAACAATTTCCTCTTCCCTTTCTCTCAGCGACTCTATTAAATAAAACATGATGGATCACACTCTATATTTGCATGCCAGCTAAAACACGGCCAAGCCTCTGCCGGAGCAGCATGAACATGGCTGTTTCCTCTCCATGACAGAGGTGAAAGGGGAGATAGCCCCAGGGAAGCTTC